GTCCCCCTGAACATTAGGAAGAACTTCCTAATCACAAGAAGAGCTGTTCAACAGTGGAACTCTGTGTCTTGGAGTCCAGAGATGGAAGCTCCTTCTGTGGAGGGTTTCAAACAGAGGCTGGATGGGGTGCTTTGGTTGTGCTTCTTCTGCCTGGCAGAAGGAAGTTGGATTGGATGGATGTGAGGTCCCTTCCAATTCTATGATTCCATGAACCCTCTCTCTCATGTTCTCCAGCCATCGATGCAAGAGATGAATGTGTTGTGAATGCGCTGCGCAGGCAGTGCTTCCTCAACCATAAGGCCTTTGCGGCACCTCCATCTCCGCCGTGGCTTTCCTGAGGTTTTCTTCTCACAGGAAGAAAGGGTGCATATGTGTTGTCGAAGGCTTTCATGGCCGGAATCACTGGGTTGCTGTGAGTTTTCTGGGCTGTATGGCCATGTGAGAGCTGGACCTTAGGGAAGGCTGAGCGAAGGAAGATCGATGCTTTTGAGCTGTGGTGTTGGAGGAAAGTTCTGAGAGTGCCTTGGACTGCGGGAAGATCCAACCAGTCCATCCTCCAGGAAATAAAGCCCGACTGCTCACTGGAGGGAAGGATACTAGAGACAAAGTTGAAGTCCTTTGGCCACATCATGAGGAGACAGCAAAGCCTAGAGAAGGGAATGATGCTGGGGAAAGTGGAAGGCAAAAGGAAGAGGGGCCGACCAAGCAAGATGGATGGATGGCATCCTTGAAGGGACTGGACTGACCTTGAAGGAGCTGGGGGTGGTGACGGCCGACAGGGAGCTCTGGCGTGGGCTGGTCCATGAGGTCACAAAGAGTCGGAGACGACTGAACGAATGAACAACAACAACAACAGATGATGGATTTAAACAATAGAACCACGTTCCAAAGGGGGGCAGACAGAAGAGGTTGTGAGCATGTCCCAAGGTCCAAAGGACATGCTCACAGCCTGTTGGACTTGAGCCTTGCTGGGCTTGAGCTGGACCTGGGTTCTTGTCACACTTTGGCAAAAAGGACGGTGACCCATTTGGGTAGGAATGAGAGGCAGGATGCAAAGCCGTTTCCCCACGGTCCTGGGTTCTTGCATCACGGTGGCGATTAGCTCCCTCTTGATTACGGTCATTATGTCCTGGTGATTCAGATGATGCTCCCGTTTCCACGTGGATGCCAGAAGCAGCGGCAGACGCCTCCAAACAGTTGCAGGAACCCAAACGGTTCTCTTGGCCTGGTACCAGGAGCGTGTGGGAGGAAGGCTCCAGAGATGTTTTCAAAGAGCAACCAACGGTTGTTTCATTAGAAGCCCAGGGCTGGAGGAAAGTAAGGTAACCCCAAAGCAAAGGCACCCAAAAAGACAGCCACTCAACCTGACGCACCTTCCTTCTGGAGCTGTCTAACAACCCACAGCTTTCTGCCCAGAAGAACTTCTCTGAAAGCCAGGCTGTCCAAGGGCTCTCTTGCCCTCGGGAAGCTCTTCCTGGTTGTGAACCATCCTTCCATGTAATTGAAGTCCTTCCCTCCCTCCATCTTCCACCTGGCTGCCCTTCAGGTATTTCAGGAAGGCCTCCAGTTTCTTCACCCTTTTCAGGCAAAAGAGGCCCGCTCTTGGCCTCCTCCAATAAAGCCATAAAACAGGTGCTACAATGAAGAATCACAGAATCCTAGAGTTGGAAGAGACCTCCTGGGCCATCCAGTCCAACCCCATTCTGCCAAGAAGCAGGAAAATCGCATTCAAAGCACCCCAGATGGCCATCCAGCCTCTGTTTAAAAGCCTCCAAAGAAGGAGCCTCCACCAACTCCAGGCAGAGAGTTCCACTGCTGAACAGCTCTCACGCTCAGG